CCTTGATAATGAGCATAACAAGCGAGGTCGCGGCTTGACCGCTATAACGACTAAGAATGGGCCCAAATAGGAAGATCGTAATTGAAGGACTTATTTTCCAATCAGTCGTCTTATAGGTGGTATTCAAAAAAGATTAAAAAACTTTTCGATTTTGATAACTTTGTCTATCCCGCAAATGAAAAAGTAAAGCTAATAGTAATGCATATAAGTCGTTTTCTTCATAAAATGTCTATTTTTAACAGTTTACAATAACATTACAAAGTTATTAATTCAGCCAGTTTTGGGTCATTTTCTATGGAGTTGTAACGAAATTTTTACTAATCCAATAATTATAAATGCAAGTGTATTTTATAAGTTGGTCGCCTATTACTCGTTAACTTCTTAGTTCTACTTAGCCGTGATAGTTTTCCTTTTAATTTCATTATATATACTACTATTATGTATACTTTCATATTTCCAAAAAGTAAAGTAGTAGTAGATCTCCGGGTCTCTACACTCACCATACGAAACACAGCAGTGTTAGGTTGCTATTTTACGCTGGTATTCTGTGAGAGCGTGGTCCTTCCCCGGTCGAGCTGACCCATTCGTGCTACAACTATAGAATTAATATAGGTGCAGCATGGCTCTACGACGTCACGTCAATCTACAAGTAATCTACAAAGCTGATGAACACTGCGCGGATTATTGTTCGTTACTATGTACATAAATGATTTTGTAAATTTACCACACAATAATGTCCCTCATACGCGACGAAGAAATTATAATACACATAATGCCCGAGACATTATTTTCGTGGGCAACTGTTATGCACGTCAACCGACATTGCATTTATCTAATTTACTCCAGTTTCTTACTACGAAACACGAATTCAGGCTATGTATACAGATTTAATCTCATTATTGCACAAAAGCGTTGTGCAAGTTCTATTTATATTTATATGCATTAGAAATAAGCAGGTTTGCATTTAAGAGTTCTGAGACAAAGTACAAATACTAAACTGATTTATTAAATATAGATTGAGTTTTGGCATGTTTCACCAAATAAATTAACTAGCAAACCTTTCTACTACAGTCGTGGACCATTCCTAAAACAAGCATGGTAAACGTATCTAGAGTGGTTAACAGGAATATTAGTAATATTAACAGCATTGCTAATATTTTATTAAAAAAAAAGAATAATACATAACAATACATTTGTATGAGAATTTACATTAAAGGTACAACGGTAACATATAGATGGAGCATGTATGATGCTGCTAAATAGACAAAACGCAAAACCATGTCTCTCAGGCGCATTACACGTGTGATAAAGATCGCCAATAAATTTCATAACGGTCGCGGAACAATGAATTTGCATAGCATTGTACATTTCGCCACAGTCAATTAACTGCCTGAGCTAATTGATTAAAACCCGTAAGTGAATTAATAGGTGCCATCTAGTTTAAAAAGCATAACATCTGTATTATCCGAAATGGTAGGTTTTTTTATAGAAAGGGGTGACAAACGAGCCGTGAGGACTAAGATAGAATGCCTCTTTTCCAGTAATAATGGTCTCCGGTTCTCTACACTCACGATATGAAACACAGCAGTGTTAAACTGCTATTTTACGCTGGTATTCTGTGAGAGCGTGATCCTTCCCCGGTCGAGCCGACCCATTCTTGCTACAACTATACTATTAATATAGCTGCAACATGGCTCAACCACGTAGCCACGTTTAGCCAAAAATAATGGTTTAGATGGGAAGTTGTGAAAGAAGTAATAGGTGGCTAGTCCATCGTCTACACAATCACAAACCCAATGTCCCATTTGTCGCCTTTTACGATATGCTAGACAAGTAATATAAACATTGGACATAAAGTGCCAGACCAACGTGGGACTAGTCTGAAGAAGGCTGTTAATAAATTGTTTTGTAGTTGAAAGACCATTTTCAAAAGCCTTTTTAAATCCATTGTTGTAGTACTTGTACTATTTATCTATTCTGTGGTTGTAGACTAGGGGTGGGCGTTGCGGCGACGAAACATTTACAAAGACCGTTATGTGTTCTGCGACGATGAAACCATTTTACGTCCTGGGTTTAAACAGTCTTCGTTGTACAAACCTGTCTTCGAATTTTTTGGTGCGATTTTTTAATTTACAGTCGGGAATGCAAAGATTCAACTATCTATATCACCCGTCGCGCCGTCGTCCTTAATGTTCCGCGTTATATTGTAGTTTTTGGTTCCACATTCGTTTATAAAGGTAGACAGAGACAAAACAGTCCTTTAGTTGTAAGAAACTGCAACCATTTCACTCGACGCAAATGCAATTCTATTCCATATCGGATAAGTTTCGTTCTTTATGTCGTCTTTAAACCAGTTTGAAAGGGCGACCATTTTCTGCAACGGACGAAACGCAACCGTTTTCCCGATGTTGAAAACGGTCGCGTTTCGTCCGTCAAAAATTCGACAACGACCCACCACTATTGTAGGCAGACAACACAAAGAACCACGTTTTCAAACACTTGTCTGATTTTGATTTTTTACACTTCTCATGTCAAAAGTAAATGTGTGATAAGACTGAATAAATAAGAAAATTGTTGTGAAGTATAAAGTAGTCACAAATAAACTATGCATCTGAAATAAGCCGATAAATATGCAAATACGTGAAAAAAAGTAGCATTTAATTGGCAGGATTTGTCCGGTACCATACTCGCCATTTTTTTTAAACTGAAGTGATAAACGAACGCAGTCTACTAATGGTTAGTGGTCCATAGACACCTGCAACTATAGTGGAGTAATGTATCTGCTAGAGGTGTGTAGACAGAAGGAGGTGTACAAATGTGTTAGTGTATGATTGCATGTTTGTGTGAAATGTATGAGATCACCTACACAACCAACTTCAAACAGAGAAGACTACAGATGCGTTATCACCTTTGAGGAATAAGATGGAATGCATCACAGTCTGTAATTATACTGGCTCTTTATAATCTTTAGAACGGTGTATTGTGTTCCACCAGACGAGGGTGGATTGAAAAGTACTCGGCCTAACCAAGAAAATAAACACATACTAAATCAGTAATATTTTTATTTTTCTACATAATCACCATCAAGTTCAATACACTTTTGCCACCTCCCCTTTCAAGCATTTAGACCGTTGAAAAAAAATGATTCTTCCTTAGAGTCAAAATATGCGTCTACAGCTGCTTTGACCTCGTCGTTTGTCGAAAATCTTTGACCTCCCAAGTGCTTTTTTGGGTTAGGGAACAGAAAGAAGTCTGATGGTGCCAGATCAGGTGAATACGGCGGATGCGGTAACAGTTCAAAGCCACAGTTGTGAATTTCAGCCATTGACTGTACTGACGTGTGAACACGGGCGTTATCTTGATGAAACAGGACTTTTCTTCTGAGCATTCCTCGACGTTTTTCTTTTATTTCCTCTCGTAAACGACGTAGTAAGGTGCAGTAGTAATCAGAGTTTATATTCTGACCCCTTTCAAGATAATCATAATCACACCTTTCGAGTCCCAGAATACTGAAGCCATCACCTTATTTGCCGACAAAATCGACTTAGCCTTTTTAGGGGGTGGTGAACCAGGTCTTCTCCACTGTTTTGATTGTTGTTTTGTTTCCGGTGTACAGTAATGAACCCATGTTTCGTCCATAGTAACAAAACGATTCAAAAAATCATCTGCATCGGCTTCAAATAACTCCAAACAGTCGCGTGAAATAGTCAAGCGCGTCCTTTTTTGTTCAACTGAAGGCAGTCGCGGAACCCACCTCGCAGACACCTTGTGGAAACCCAACTCGTTGACAATGATGTTTTGAGTTCGTTCATAAGAGATGCCTATAATCTCGGCTATCTCTCTAATTTTTAATCTGCGGTCTCCCATTATTAAATCAAGTACTTTTTTAATATTTTCGTCAGTAGTTGACGTCGAAGGCCTTCCAGAGCGGGGTTCATCTTTCACACTCTCTCTACCACGCTTAAATTCTGCTATCCATTTTTTGACGGATGAATATAACAGAGCACAATCGCCTAATGTACTGACCATGTCATCATGGATGGCTTTTGATGATAGCCCCTTCTTATGGAGGTACTTAATGACGGCACGCCGCTCGATTTGCTCCATTCGCGGAAATTATGTCCGATTACTTTGTTAATAAATTTATAAAATCACAACTAATTATCGCACACGTTTCGAACTTCACACAATGAACTAGTCTGAACTGAACTAAATAATGTGGGTAGATTTGATTTTTAGAATTGAATGGATCTGTGTTAGGCCGAGTACTTTTCAATCCACCCTCGTATCTACCCAGACGGAGTGTTATGTAAAAAAGGTACTAGGTAATAACTAATATATAATTTATGAATAACCAATTCCAAAGGCGCAATTCCGAAGATTCGTATTGCAGATTTAGCTGGGTCTATAGTCCATGATTGTAACTGTATGTAAGGTGTACTGGGGTAATTCCAACGGGAATTTTACGACATGACTAGAGGTCTACATTTCGGTTAGTTATGTAAAGTAGTTTCATATTTACAGCCAATAGTATGCGACTTTTGTTAACTTAATGAAAATATTTAACTTGTGGATATATTAGATTCATAAATATATAGTTGGATTCACTAAATAGAGCATTTTGAATTATTGAGTTATAATATATTGGTATAAGGGAAATTAAAACTAACAAACTAAGGGGAAAATATGTCTACTGTGAGTGGCGTTTGGTTGCCAATTCTGATCTAGGAGAAGGTTTGGTTCCGATGAGAATGATGACAATCGCAACACCACCTTCAGGAAAATAGCCCACTCTTTTTTAAAACGTCGGCAACGCACCTGCAATTCCCTTAGTGTTGTAGTTATTCATGGGCGGCGGTAGTCACTTACCATCAGGTGAGCCGCATGCTCGTTTGTCCCGTCTGATATAAAAATAAAACCAGCGATGAAAGTTCCAATTCTTACCTTACAGTAATTTAATGTTATGGTGTCGGCTCTTATTATTTCATTGTACAGCTTACCCGTTAGGTACGTCGGTGCTGAGTTGGTCCAGAAGCGAGTCGACGGTCGGTCTAGACGATGCCGGACTGGTCGCACCATTTGCTCTCCCGTAGCCCTCTGCGCCAAGAAACATAAATTATATAGTACGTTTTATAAATTTTATTTGTACATAGGTTTATTTGTAACTAGTATATAGTACCTAGTCAGGTCATAAGTATTGTCACACAGTCAAAACTTTTCTTTTAGAATGCTGGCCACAAAAAAGTTTATTGAATTCGAATTTCGAATTGTTCATGAAAATAAAACTGTATACTTTTTAGAATTTTACTCATTTTTAAATATGGAGTGGATGCTTAAAGAAGACCGTGTTGCAGTTATTGCGTTGCATCGTTGCGGTTACGCGCCAATTCAAATTTTTGACATACTGAAAAATTTGAATATAACCAAAAGATTTTTTTTTATAGGATAATGGTGACAAACGAGCACACAGTCCACCTGATGGTAAGTGGTTGCTGCGGCCCATAGACATCTACATCTATCCTCTATTACAAATCAAAATGTAGATGCGTTGTCACCCGTGAGGACTAAGATGGAATGCCTCATTTCCAGTAAAAAGGGCCTCAAAAGTAAAAAGATTCGTTTATCGTACCATCAAACGATACAATGAAGACTCTAGTGTAGATGACAGGTCAAGAAGTGGTCGCCCTCGGTCTGTTAGGACTCCAGCAGTGATAAAAGCTGTGAAGGCGCGAATTCAAAGAAATCCCAAACGTAAGCAGAAACTGCTGGCCCTTCAGATGGGGTTAAGCAGAACCACGGTGAAAAGGGTGTTAAATGAAGACTTAGGGCTTCGGGCATATCGAAGAAAAACCGGACATCGTTTGAATGCTCATCTAATGGACCTGAGACTGAAGAGATGCCGCGCTTTGTTGAAGCGGTACGCGGGAAAAAAATATCGGGAAATTCTTTTTCGGATGAAAAAATTTTTACCGTAGAAGAGAGCCACAACAAACAAAATGATAAGGTGTACGCACACAGTAGTGAAGAAGCGAGCAACCGTATTCTGCGTGTCCAACGAGGTCATTTTCCATCCTCGCTCATTGGTTGAAGGTTGGGAGTTTCATATTGGGGCTTAACAGAGGTACATTTATGTGAGAAAGGTGTAAAAACGAATGCAGTTGTGTATCAAAATACTGACGAACCTTGTGGAACCTGTTTATCATACCATGTTCAATAACAGGCACTGGGTATTCCAACAAGATTTGGCGCCAGCTCATAGAGCGAAGAGCAAACAAGACTGGCTGGCGGCGCGTAAAATCGACTTCATCCGGCACGAAGACTGGCCCTCCTCCAGTCCAGATTTGAATCCGTTAGATTACAAGATATGGCAACACTTGGAGGAAAAGGCGTGCTCAAAGCCTCATCCCAATTTGGAGTCACTCAAGACATCCTTGATTAAGGCAGCCGCCGATATTGACATGGACCTCGTTCGTGCTGCGATAGACGACTGGCCGCGCAGATTGAAGGCCTGTATTCAAAATCACGGAGGTCATTTTGAATAAACTTTAGTGTCATAAGAATCTATGTTTTGTTAAGTTCATTTTGGTATATAAATGGTTATATAATGAATAAACTTGTTTCAATTATTTTATATTAAACATGTGACAGAATTTATGACCTGACTAGGTATATAGTTCTAAAACCACAAACATAATATAGATAGCATATTGCAAAAAATGTTGTACACTAAAATTTCAATTGCGCATTTTAGGCAAGGATTTTTGGTGCTCCTTTCTCCACTGCATTCATATTTGTCATTCGGTGGACAAAAAGGTACTTCAACCACAGATTACTTAATTTCAACGTTAATGCTTATTATCAGGAAATAATGTAATTAATTATAATTTAAAATTTGGTACAACCGACTTCAATATAAATTATTAAGAATAACTCAAAAACTATTGGTCAGACCTTGATCAAATTTATATGGGACCACATGGGAAGCACCAGCTTTCAAATAAAAAAGAGAATCATCGAAATCGGTTCACCCAGGAAAAAGTTATGAGGTAACACAATAAAAAAAATACAAAAAAGAAACAGTCGAATTGAGTACGGTCTCCTTTTTGAAGCCGGTAGAAAAATGAGGCAGCTAAAGAATCTAAATCACATGCCTTTCATACTATCGAAACATATTTTGCGGTTATCGCTTAAAAAACGATAACTAAAAAACGTTAAAGTTTTTATTTATAAAATCCATTCGATTAAGAATTTAATTGACTATTTAATGTGAGCGCACTTTTCCCCGAGTACTATTTCAAGTATTATTCTCGAGCGTCATAATCGTGTACGATGTTTTTGTCAAACTATGCCATAGGCTGGATTATCAAATTTAGTGATATTGATAAAAACTATGCGTCAACAAAAAAACTCAAAAAGTCTGGGAGTAGAATATATAAAAAAAATCCAAAAACTAGGTAATTGCAAATAATTTTCATTAGAGTTCACTGTTTATTTACTAATTTTAGTTATTTCATTTTAATATGAAAGTCATATTATATTCCAAATACCACCATTGTGGTATCTTTTTAGCACTTGATCGCAAAACGCGAACATTTTTCTAAAGTCTTGACCACTATCGCCTGTTAAAAGTCCACTGCTGAACATAGGCTTCGATCAGATTGCCTATTATTTGCCAGAGTTGCTAAATTTGGCAGGTAGATTAGCAACCGCAGTTTTTTATTTATTAGTTGTTATTAGAAAGACGCTGTTGCCCTATTTCCTCATTTGTTTCCCTTTATCGCCTTATACTACGCTCACGGGATAATATGGGGTAGTGGATATTCTTACATCGCCACTATACGGGGTCAATTACCTTACAGACAATATGCACACCTTTTTTCCTTCAACAAACCTTCCTTCTGAAATTCTTTAATTTATGTTTAAAAAACACATCAAAATTTATCAAATAGTTTTAGAGTTATAAGCGAATTCATGTATGTATGTGACTTTGTTATATTTAGTGATTGAATTGTCGTTAGTCGCAAGTTTTATTTTAAATAAATTTTAAAAGACGTCGAAAATTTTAAAGACGTACTTGTAAAAACATTAATTATAGTGCCAAAACAATGAGAATTGTTTCTATTATCACGGGAAGAACGGAGACAGGTGGATTCAAACATTTTGTTTCCGTGCCAAAATCTGTTGTTGTTCGAGGACTGATGCAAGTCGAGTAAATCTTATAAATAAAAGGACATGTGTTTGCGGTAAATAAAGCATTATATGTACAGACTAGCGATTCGCCCCGGCTTCGCTTCGATCTATTAATGTGGCGTTAATTAGATTTAAACGCCGTGTAGTGGCGGTCAAGAATATCCACTACCCTATATCTTCCCGTGGGTGTCGTAAAAGGCGACTAAGGGAAACAGGTAGGAGATGGGCAGCAGCATCTTCCTGATAATAGCCAAAATTACAATAAAAAAACTGCGGTTGCCAACCCACTCGCCAAGCGTGGCAACTATGGCAAATACCCCCCAATGATTAGAGCAACAAACAGACGGCCCCCAGTCCCCGGCGGCCCCGCTATTCCTGGCTACGGTGGCGACCATGTTAACGGCGGGGCAGGGGGTGCTAAGAATCTCCGGTGGAGGTTTGGTTGCCACCTTAGACGACTCGACCTGGCAAGGTACAACGCACGCACCCTGAGGACTGACGAGAAGATCGTGGAGCTGGAAGAAGAGATAGACACGTTGCGCTGGCATATTATAGGATTATCCGAAGTCCGAAGAGAGGGGGAGGACACGGCAATCCTCGAATCCGGCAACTTGCTCTATCACCGGGAGGGCTACCATCTGTCCCAAGGAGGTGTCGGATTTATCGTCCACAAGTCTCTTGTTAACAACGTTGTAAAGATCGGGAGTGTGTCGACGAGGGTTGCGTACCTTATACTCAGAATCACCAAACGGTATTCGCTGAAGGTTATACAGGTTTACGCACCAACATCGGCACACCCCGATGAGGAGGTGGAGGAAATGTATGAGGATATCTCTAGAGCCATGCATTCCTCCAAAACCCAATATACGGTGTTAATGGGAGACTTCAATGCAAAACTAGGCACAAGAGAGAAGGGTGAGCTGAAATTAAGGAAATTTGGAATAGGGCAACGGAACCCAAGGGGCCAGCAGCTGGCCGACTTCATGGAGAAAGAGGGACTCTTTATGATGAACTCTTTCTTCCAGAAGCGGCCCCACAGGAAGTGGACCTGGTCGAGCCCCGACGGTTCGACAAAAATTGAGATTGACTTCATTATGACGACCAGACGACAACTGTTCAGTGATGTCTCCGTGATCGCGAGGGTGAAAACTGGTAGCGATCACCGAATGGTTAGAGGCACACTGAACCTAAACGTTAAGTTGGAGAGGTCTCGTCTAATGAAGTCAACGCTCCGTCCCCCTAGTACTCTGTTCCAAAGTCCCGAAACCTTTCAGCTCGAGTTACAAAACCGTTTTCAGTGCCTAGAAGACTGCAATGAAGTGGACGATATGAATGACAAGCTCGTGGAAACTGTGCATGCGGTCGGAGCTAAGTTCTGCAAGACCCACCGCAGAAAAACACATAAACTCTCCGATCACACTCTGAATCTCATGGCTGTTAGACGGGAGATGAAGCTACATTCTTCAACAGATTTGACAGCATACAGGCAACTGAACAGACAGATCTCCAAATGCATGCGGCAGGACTTACGCAACTTCAATACAGCTTGTATTGAAGAAGCGATCGAGCGGAACCAAGGCTCCAAAGTCTTTGCCAGAGATCTGTCTGCCAGAAAGAGCCAACTGTCAAAGCTGAAGACCGAGTGTGGCAGCATCGTTTCCGGGGCACCTGAAATTTTGAGTGAGATTGAGAGGTTCTATGGACAGCTGTACACGTCATCGTTGGAGCCACACGCGAGTGTGAGTAACGATCCAAGAGCGAGTCTTATCCGACACTATTCCGAATATATCCCGGACGTCAGTCTGAGCGAGATTAGAATGGCTCTCCAGCATCTTAAAAACGGCAAGGCCCCAGGCGAGGATGGAATTACAGCGGAGCTTCTCAAAGCGGGTGGGAAACCGGTACTG